GTTATACAATATTTTCTCCTACTCCATCTCTTATGTCACTACTCATATTTTTCATACGTAAGGTCTTCAAATGGAGGACTATGAGTATCGACACAACAAGTATTACTCATGAAATATTTTAGCAAAAGTTGATATTTTTCAGTATGTATGTATTGTTAAAAATTGTTATTCCTTTTTTTTTACTTAACAAAATACATATTATTGTATTAATTTTAATGATATGCAATTTCACCCCTGTCGGCTTAATATTGTTCTTTCGATTAATGTTTGGTCAAAGTTATAGTTGATGACCGACTATCCATCTGCCAGAAGTTTGGTTATATTTCCTTGTCCACTTGATTGATTTGAAAATATTTCAAAAAAATATTATATTAATAAATCAATTTATTCAAAATGTATTATTTTCAAAATTGATTGAAAAAATGTGGCTAACCATTGGACTATTCAAGAGGCAAGCAATGTGGCTAACCATTGGACTGTTACATGGATTAGCTAGAAAAAACTGATGTGACAACCATAAGACTTATCTAGACGACTACATATGTAACTTATCTAGATGGCTACATATGTACCAAGTCTAATAATTAAAGATTAATGTAACATTTTCTACAGTTTCCTTCACCACCATAATCTCCTATGGTTGCAAGAAGACTTTCCTATCTTTTCATGTGGCTACTACCTCTAATCTTTTGAAAAACAAAAAACACTGGTTTAAAAATATATCAGAGATACAATATATGGTTGCAAGAAGATTTTCCTAACTTTTTCATATGGCTACTAACTTATCTTTTGAAAAACAAAAACACCCGTTTAAGTATCTCTGTTTTATTAGTGTAAACTTAATACAATATATATTTCAATGAAAATGATATGAAACCTCCCATCGTCTCCCAAATTGCGCAAATAAGTATCTCAGAGATTATTATACTGAACTGCAAAGATTAAATGGTTATAATAATCAATCTTGATAAATGTCAGTCTTTGAGGGTATATGGCAAAATGACATAGCATATTTTTTGCGAGCTATTATAAGAAGTGTGTTAGGAATGCCAATTTATGACGGAATATATGGCAGATACTTTTCCATTCTCCATCAGTAACCATGAATGAGAGAAAACTCATCAAAATAATGACATACCAAACTTTGCTAGGATGACTTGAATCACATATTTCAATTTGAAGACTTGCATTTGCTTGGATAATCCATTTCAGTATCATGGTGATGTCATTCTCATTACTGAAACATAAAGACACAAGATAGCACTTAACTACTTGACGTTCACAGAATGAAATTGATATTAGCATTCTTGTATAGTAGTGTATGTTGATGCAAAAGTATATTCGTCATGACCAATACCATAATCCCAACTAGCTAGTTCATGTCGGTGACATAAAACTTGAAGTGTCAATTAAGTTCGTTAACACAATAAATTCATGCAAAAAAACAGTAGCATATTTCAACACCATGTATATTTCAACCTTCTTACAAAGGAATAAAAAAGGGCAACCCGGTGCACGAAGAAATCCCCTCAAGCAGGTCATTTTTAAAATCGATCCAAGCATCTTGAATCAGATATTTCATTTTGAAGACTTACATTTGCTTGGATAACCCATTTCAATATCACTGCGTTGTCATTCTCATTACTGAAACATAAAGACACATGATATCATTGAACTATCTGACGTTCACAGAATGAAATTGATATTTGCATTCTTGTATGGTAGCGTATGTTGATGTAATAGTATGTTCACCATCATGACCAACATCATAATCCCAACTAAGGTCAGATCGGTGACATGAAATTTAAAGTGTCAATTAATTTTGTTAACACAATAAGTTCATGCAAAAAAAGTGGCATATTTTACACCAGGTACGCTTCACCTTCTTGCAAAGGAATACAAAAGGACAACCCAGTGGTCCGGGATTGTTTAGAATCATTGGTTTCCACCATTGTGATGTCAAACCAAGAGCTCTGATACCATGTAAGTTTTAGGAATAAATTTCCTTGACATCTATTGAACCATCAGGCCAGAAATATATAGGATTTACATATAACAACCTCCTTGTGGAGATCCTATAATTTAGGATCTAGCTAACTTCAAAGCTTATCTAATACTAAATGAAAAGATAACATCTCTAAGACTTATCTACACGACTGCATATGTACAACTATATCTAATATCGTTACTAATTGATGTAACATTTTCTACACTCAGGAGCATTTAGAACTCTTTGAAGTTCTTAGTTGTTGGACAATCTTGTATTTCCGACACTTTTGACCGCTTTCTTTCACCATTAGGAATCCGAACGGGCAGACCAGCATCAATGTTATCTTGCATCCCTCCATTGAGGCTAGGTTTCATAAATTCAATAAGCAACGAGAGTTGTTCTGACGTCAATCCTGAGACTGGACTTGGTGCATCTTCCACATGTGCTTTTGTTCTACTTGACTGGTTGAGTTTCTTTCCACCTTCTCGTTTGTTTCTCCCGCCTATCAAAGTCATCATCTCGCTTTGTCTGCAGCTGAAAGGCCGTAACCTCGCCCTTTGATTGTCAAAACAAAGTGATGAACCTTTTTTATTCGTCATGTGTGACCAAGCGATAAACCGTGGCCATAGTAGATGTAGGTTTGGTGCTCAGAATCTAAGTTGTGATGGTGTTATAGTCATCATTCAAGCCCATAAAAAAATCAGAGTTGTTCTTGTTCTCTTATAGCAACCCATTTGGCCTTGCATCACATGAGCAGCCTTCACAGGTGCACTTAGGATTCGGGGTAACACATTCAAACTCATCCAACAGTGTTCACATCTTGGTGAAATAGGTTGAAACTGTGACTTCATACTGTTGCACCAAGGCTACAGATCTTATGAGTTTATACGCACGAGGCGCACTAGCCTTACTGGTACGTTCCACCAGATTGTCCCCAATTTCTTTGGTTGTTTTGTAATATTTGACGGTGTAGCGGGCTTGTTTCTCCATCCCGCTCATCAGTCAGCCCTTAACCATGACATTGTAACACTACCAGTAAGGCAATTCTGGTGATTCAGGCTTGAGCATTAATATTGTTCCGTCAACAAAACTCATCTTGTTCTTCGCAAACAGTGAGTTGCTCATGTCGTACGCCCAGTCTCCATATTTGCCATCCTTGAGTAGATCTACGACAAACACATCATTCGAATTCTCACTAGGATGAAGGTAATAAGGGGGATAAAGGGTGGTTTATCGACATCTACCCCACTGATGGGTGGTTTAAAGGGGGGGGGGGGGGGTAAAGGGTGAATTAACATAGCGCTCCCACTGCCGCCTATAGCATCATTGGTTCTAGTTCTGTCCGACCGATCCATACTTTTAGGAGGATGGCGTCGGCGGAATTGTTGGCCAGATATTAGGCTTTGGTACAATGTAAATTATTATGCACAATTAAATACATGCCTTTAAGTTAATATTATAAATTATCAAAAATAAACTAGATAACCTCTATTAAAACCTGGTAGAGCACTTCGTCCATTGGAACCTTATGGCAGTTTCCTCAAACCGTTAACTATCCGGCTATCCCTATGAAGCATCATTCTGCAATTCCCGTCCAATATCATAATTCATAAACCCATCCGCAATTTCTGTCCAGCATGAGAAATCCTGATTTTGAAGACCATGGTGATGAGAACAATAATCAATGGCGGTCAGGGAAGAGTGCTGCCATCGTTCTCAGACTCCTTCAAAGTTCCCCAAATAGCGATTACTTGGTGTCCAATTGTGATACGCAGTACATAAAAGGGCTTATATTTGTAACCATAATTAGGAAGGAAGGTTAGATATTGTACTTAAAAAATTTACGGGCTTTATATTAACAAAAAAATGCTATCTATTTTAATAACTTAAATAGAAGCTACTAACTTCATGTCGCGTATTTTTTAATGTTATATAGCATTTTTTTCCCTTATTTCAAAATGGAATGAATTTTATTGATGACAGTGCAAACATTGAAACATATATACAAGTTACATTCTTGCTTAGCAAGTAAATTAATTATCTAATACCAGCTTACAAATAGTCATGGACCCGGTTCATGCCGCCCGGCCCGGCCCGCCACTGTGCGGGCCCGGAACCGGCCCGGTTCTCGGGTCCGGGTCGGGCCTAGGCCCGGTGGGGGGGGCGGGTCCGGGCTCGGGCCTTGTATTTGGCGAACCGGCCCGGCCGGATCGGGCCCGGGCCGAATTGATTTTTTTTTTTTATTTTTTTTTCATTTTTTGGGGTTAGACGGGTTGGGTTTGATGGTTAGGAGGGGTTTGGGGGTTTGGGGGGTGGGGGGGTGAGTGGGGGGTAAGGAAAGCAAAAAAAAAAAATTATGACCGAACCGGAGGCCCGGCCCGGCCCGGACCCGGACCGGACCCGGTGGCTACCCGGGCCGGTCCCGGGCCTTCCTTCCCAAAAAAAAAGCCCGGCCAGGCCCGGCCTGGAACCGGCCTGGCCCGGGTCCATGACTACTTACAAAATATAGAAACATACTCTGTAACATTGTACATACAATTAAGATATGACTAATAAATGAAATGAGTTGGGTAGTAATTCAAACATGTGTAGTAAAAAATCCATTCAAAGACACTTTCATATAGACCAAATACATGAATGAAACGATATATTGAATTAAAAAAAACTAAGGAGAAGTTTTCTTTGTAAGTGCACTTGTAGTAAATTTGTCATGTCAATGATGGGAAAAAGGATTAACTTGTTATAGACAATCAAGTTTTGAGGTGAATTTAAAATATGCGATCATTCTCCTAGAATTGATCACCTAGATTCACCTAGATTCATCATCAAACCTAAAAAAGATATAAAAACATTTTGTTGAACAAACATTACATCACCTCTTACATCGACATCACCTTGTAGGCTTGTATTCACATAGACACACACAAACATAATAATACTGTTTGCATGCATGGAAAAGAATGATTTTAGGAAGACATTTACAAGAAAATATCTTGTCTATATATTGGTAAAAAGATGACAAGCAATTGTGATGAACAGAGAAATAGAGAATACGGACTCAATAAAATAAAAGCGAACAGTTAGTGACTTGACTCATAAATTCCAAGTACAACACTTCGTTAAGAGTTGTCTTTCTTTATCATCGTCACATCAGTTATCAGTATGTCCACATTAACACGCAGACGATATAATTTATTTTTGGATGTAAAGAAGCTAAACTACCAACCGCAAAACCTAGTATCTATCTTGTTTATCTAAAAGTATTTAAGTTCTTAGCTGCCAAACAGAACAATATAGCAAGGCTACTTTTTACATCAACTTTTGTTTCAATCAAAAACGCCTATTGGAGCCACTATCCCTTCTGTAATCCCCACCAGGAGGTTGCCCGGGTTGCACTACCGGTGAACCAAAATACTGCCCTGCTTGTTGCTGATTTCTTAAGGTCCCAGAATGTGCTTGAGGGTGCCACCTTGGTGATAAATTTGTAACATGTTGCGGGTTTTGCATTCTTGGGTGACCCAATGAGGGGCGTTGGTGAAACCCAACACCAATTCCTTGTGTGGGTCCTGGTGGCTGAGAATTAGGAGGCAGCCGTGGGCCCGGCTGCCACTCTGGGATGTCATCATCATCATCATTCCATGGTTCAATTCCAAAACCACCAGGCACTACTCTGTTATTATTATCAGTTTGGCCATACTTTTGTACAAGTTGTCTCATTTGATCAGGTAGGGGTAGGTGTGCGTGAGTAGGGGGCTGTGGGTGGGGTTGTCTAGTCAAGGGCGATAAGTTCTTGATGTTGCCAGAGAAATTAAACTCCGGTAAATCATCATCATCACGAGAACTGCCCTTGGGCGGCCCAAACCCAGGCGGGATGTCGTCATCATCATCATCATCATCATCACCACCTTGTGGCAATAATGGGGTAGTACTAGTAGTAGGTTTCAAAGATACTTCAGGCAATAAATTAACGTTGTTAACATTGACGGCCTCTTTTTCATGTGGTCTCCTACTAGTGGGCGACATGATGGATGGCTGTTGTTTTTGGAAGACATGTTGTTTATGGTCTTCCGTTGAAATTGTGGAAGTTATTTGATGGTGGTGGTGGTGATGTTTTCTCCATACAACAACACCTACAAGGCCATTATCGGAAGATTCTTGCAGCCTGGAGCTTTCTTCCTTAGACACATGTTTGGTAAGAATATCCAGTACGCGACCTTGGGGTGGACAAAGGTAAAGCTCCACTCCAGGAGCTGGCTCGGCAAATCCCAACCTGTCATCGGAGACATATGAATCTACCACCTGAGAAATATTCAACCACGGCACTATAATGTGTGAGAAATATTCATGTATAAACTAAAAAGAACAAGCATTGAAATATGTCTATGGGAACAAATGAATAATAACCTCTGAAAGACTTTTCCGTCCATCCTCGGATGACTTATCCTTCAGCACAAATTGGACGACCTGCAAATTGAATGTTTTTTAATTAATGGATTTAATGATGACAACTCTTTAAATTATTAGTCTATGTATAATCAATAAAATCTAAAACCTTTAAGGTGTGTCATTCATTGCTTATTCCTTTTTTTCTCTTTTATTGAACAAGTTATCATTTCACCTGCTTATAATAACACTTTATTTTTTTAGAAAATTATATGGATGATTTGCTCTCCGCTGTTTATGCCCTATGGAACAGAAATTCAATCAATATATATATCAACGGAAAGACCATTTTGTAATTATTACGTACATAAGCCAGCAATAGTAGATACTTCCTCCGTTCTTTTTTAGTTGCAACGGTCAACATTTCACACTTGTCAACGCACATCTTTGACCGTAATTATATCTTAATCCCTATTAGTAAAAAAATATTTAAAAATTAGATTTTGAAAATTTGTAATGAGATGAATTGAAAAATATAATTTTAAAAAAATAATTTTCATAAAATAATAGTATAAAATGTAGTCAAAGTAGAACATGTGAATAATGTTAAATTCAACATGTTGCGATTAAAAAGAGACGGAGGATAGTATATCAAATCAAATTTGCGAATCAGCTTCTCATACACATATACATGTTGCTATGAACCGTCAACGTACTTTTTTTTGCTCGAAGAGGGCTTAATTCATAGAAATAGCATTCATCAAGGGTACAAAAATAGAAAAGAACCACATTTAACAATTTAAATTAGAGATATTACACAAAAGAGTTTAGATTAAAATTGAAACTTGCTAGTCCGTACTAGACAAACATCATACTGTTCCCAGGTATTGCCATATCAATATGGATGGACAAAAAATGATAATAGGGTAAAGTGGTAAAGCCGTTGACCGTATGAAAGAAAAGCAAGCACAACACACACAAAAATAGATATAGATATATGTACATAGGTAAAAAAATGTTGTAAAGAAAAGCTACACTGCAAGTTGAATGAGCCTGTATACCATGACTGCACGACTCCGTGACATGGGGAGCTGCAGGAGGAATTTTTCAAACGCATCAAGCCTAACTCTACCCTTTACTTCAAGGGAATTTGTCCACTCCTTTGTTGATGTTGTTTCTCCACTGCAAGGGATAAGTATGTCAACACCAACCAACCAGAAAGAGCAATTATATTAAAGATCATCCAAATAAGAAAGCACCGCTTATCTCTGACAAAAGCAACCAACCCCAGAGTAAGTTTATTACGGAGTAATATATACCCTAAGTTGTGTGTTCATTCATGCAAGGGTAAATATGTAAATTTGATGGGTGAGGATAACACATGCAGCTTTGATATGTATAAACATACGTGATATGCAATATGTACGCCCTTGAACTCATCCCACCATGCCAGCCAAAAAAGTAGCAGAAAATTCAAGAGGTAAAGCACACATCATTGTGTTCACCTATTATATACAAAAGACACTACACATGAAAAAAATCCAGATGTTGGCAACTTGGGATGGGAGTGAGTTGGCCCCACTAACTTACACCCATGATCAGAATCATCATGAAAGGAGTAATGAGTGCAGAGCAATTCAAGGAGTGCAAGAATTGCCCTTCAACAAAATCATGGATGGTAACTCTCAAGCACCACTTAAAGGACACTTGTTAAATTCATAGCATTGCCTATACTTTTTCCGAACTATTCAGAGCGCATAACTTAATTGATTATAAAATGGTGAGCAATGGTGCCCAAAAGGTTAAAATAACATATTATATCCATTTCATCGAATAGGTGTACAAACCTTCTAAAATAACACATAACCGCAACTGAAATTGAAATGCTCAGTTGAAGTTCCCCCTCCCAGACAGATTGGACAGCAGATGCATTCCCGCACGGAGATTCTTTTTTTGCATTAAGATGTGAAATGGACTTCACATCTGCCTCTGGACCAACCAGTTTGCCAACTAGCCCAACTTTTTTTCGGATCACTTCACCAGTCTTGCCTTCAAAAGAAGTATTGTTAGAAGATCCTTCCAATGTTGATTCAACAGATGGAGGAGTTCCAGAAGTGGCATCTACAGGCAAGTTCTCAAATGGAGGTTCAGAGTCAAGGGACTCCATAAATTCATCAAGTGTCACAATGGGTGAGAGAAAATCTGCTTCCTTGAACTCATCTACCATCATTCCTTGCATCAAATCGGCCTCATCAGTCTGAATAACCAAGCTGTGGGATAAATCCTGTTTCTTTTCACTACTTTTGGGATTTTGTTGAAATTGTGTGGTAATCGGTGTGGTTGCACCAGCAGATATCTCAGCGGCAATATTCACATCTTCATAGTCACTTTGAAACACCACTTGGTATTCTCCTTTGTGTGTTTTCTTAACCAAACGTCTCATGTCACCATCACTATCTGGTAAAACAACCATTTGAGCAAGTTCTTCAGCTTTTGCTGTCCTCCACTCCGAAAGTTCTTTCGAAGCAAGTTCCTCTGCAGTCATGGAGCATAATCTTTCTGGGAGAATCTCACCTGACATAACCCTTTCTCTGAGTTCTGGATTATTTGGGTCTTTTAGATTAAACAGAAGAGATCGACCCTTCTCTTTGTATTTCTTATTCACACCTCGGAATAATTTAAACAGTTCTGATTCGATTTCAGAAGCCAAATCTTCCGGACAAGATACATCATTTTGAACGAGAGGTAATTCGTTTGTTTCCTTCACCTCCTCCCCCATATCAAGATCCATAACCCAAGTGAGGCCATTTCCCTGCAAAAGATCGTCTTTGACAAAGAAACTATCACTAAAAGGTATATCTTCCACTGCCAACTCAGGAAACCCAGCTGTATTCACTTCCTCTGATGGTTGTTGTTTTCCTTGTTTACTCTCACTCTCATCCTTAGCCTCATTTGATGTAGATTCATTTTTACGTTGGCATACCAAAGCAAGTGCACCTGCAAGTGATTCCCTCATCTTCGATCTAACAGCTTCGGACGAGTCGGTGTGGTTCTTAGCCACTGTGTCTGCTTGTACAGCCCTCCCTTTTGGTCCCTGTCGCTGGAGCCCAGCTTTACTAGAAAGGGGCTCATTTCGCATGGCTTTTCTGTTTGGTGGAGGAAGAGTTTGTGTTGATGTGGGGCTGGCTTTGGGTTGTAAATTTGGTCGCTGAGGCCCACCAGCACGTCTGGTTGATGATGATGACAACTGCCGAGGGGAGGAAACATGAAGTTGAGGTTCCCCATCAGCCTTTCGCTTGCTCGGTACAGATAATTTCTGCTCAACGCCAACATTAGTGGACACACCTCTAAATACCCTATCAGATGACAAGGATTGCTGGGGGACAGAACTGATAATTGATGAGCTTGATTGAACCACACCTGTTTTGTACTCTGTTTGACCCAACTGGTTTACAGAAACCAAGGAGTCAACACACTCAGCTGGGTTCACAGGGCCACTGGATCCAGGAAAATCATGCATTGTATTATTTGGCATATTTCCAACCATTTGCATTTCCGACATAAGATTACTAGACATATTAATGCAGTTGTACACAACAAGAAGACATTTCACTTCAGCTCATTGATACCATTTGGTAAATCAACAATGTCACTAAATCTTGATCAATAACATGTAAATACAAGCTCTGCACACAAAACATAGGAAAAGTGATTGATCTATTAGTAAATTATTAAACACAAATATGAAGCAAGTAAACAAAATGACACAAGTCTTTTCAAACAGCAATCTAACCAAAACAAGAATTCAACTTTATAGCTTAAAAGGGCTGAGAATACATTGAAACTTGACCAAACATGCAACAGAGAGTGGAATATTAAGAAACACAGAGTTGACAGTAGATAATATATGAAGCACTCATTTGTATGAATAGTTTACGTTCCTTTGTATCAATGGCATTTATTATAAATGATGAAAAATTACTTACCATCATTCGCAATATATTGACATTTAAATATCCAAGCATTAGAGGGGAAGTGAAGAAACCTAATAATCACACAGTTGGCACCCAAGAAAAGGGTAAGAAAGGGAGCACTCTTATGAGTACTGAAATGTATGTAAGTATGTTTAAGCTGTGATCATTAAAAGCATCATTTCTTTCTTTTCATGAATGGAAACTTTTACAAATATCCAGAAATCTGAACAAATCAGACCAGAACTCTTGACAAAAGAAGCAAACTAACAGCAAGAAGAAAACACAAGAGGTTAGCACATCGAGCATAATCTCCATTTGTAACTAGAGAAATATAAAGAAAGCAAACACCATTTTGAAATAGTTGGTTCATGATACAGGACACAAACAACTTCAAGTTATTTGCCATGCAGTGTGGTCAGTTTTCAGCATGAAACTATTGGCTCAAGTCCTTTTGCCTTGAGGAATCACAACTTCATGTAATCATGAAACCCTACCAAAAATGTCATCTCAAATTTTGCATTTTGTTGGCTTTAACAGTTAACTTATTGTGATTATTCTGGTTTATCCAAAGATTACATTTGGGACCCAAATTGCTGGTATTATTAGCCCTTCTAGCTTACCTTTTTAGAAAAATTGTCTGGATTATGCAATTTTATGTATGGAAAAAATTTAAACGTTATAACTGCATTGAAAAGCCCTTTTAGTCTTGCACTAAACATTTACTGCCATACTCCTGCTTGTTGTTCCACAAATTGACCTCACAGGATCCATTCAGTAGTATACGTTTACAATACCAGATGTCCTCAAAATGAAAAAAGTAACATAGGAATCTAACGGCAGTAAAACTAAAGCATCATACTAGAATTCCAGTGATAAGTGAACCCTTCTAGTGCTTTCCTCAACACTTATCAGTTGTGGGGAAGAAAGGTAGCAAACAAACAGTAGTGGTCAATACACGTCTAACACATGGACTACTATTTTCAATGTCTTGGACAGCCAAAAGAAAAAAACACTTCAGTTGTATAGTTATGTACTTCAAAGTTCAATATCAAATACATGCTTAAGCCATATATAGCCCAAACTAAGATCTAATTCCAAATTGCCTTCTCTTTGGGAACTGGGAGTGAAGACAAATGTTGTAATAACACATGGGCTTCACCCTTCAAGTCCACCAACCCAACTGAGGACCGCCTGAGAAACACTTTGTTGTCTTCACAAAAGGCAGACCTGAAGTCATTTACTGCCAAATGAGGAAGCTTCAGATGCCTATCTGTGCTTAGCTGGTAAATGATGCAACAATGAGAAGAAAAGGTTCAGATGCTTGGGACACAAAAGTAACACCTAAGCATAATCCAGAATTCTCTCACCATTTACATCTTTAAAGTATGTTGCATGCGCATACATAAAATGGTCACTAAAAAGCTACTTAAATTCATAATTCTTAATCATCATTATATAAAACCAAAATGTTTTGTGAACGATATTCCTGCCCAAACATCCCCATGATATAGAGCAGCACGCAAGCTTACCAGATAATAGCCTTAAAGGTAGAAATATTGAACAAAATATTGTATACTAACTAAAATATTGTATCAGCTACAGTGGAGACTTTTATTACAAAGAATTAAATTTTAAAATTAAAAAATAAAAGAAAACATATACAGTAGAAACATTGATGAATGTTTATCAATGTACACGCTAGAAACAACCCTAATCAGGTCCCGGCAGCCTGTTTCTTGGAGAATGCATACAAAATATACATGAAATATAATTAAATTTGTAAAAAACTGCCTGTCGAATCTAGCAAGCCTATTCATTGGGCCAGTGTATTTTCAGCCAATAAAATCTAAACAGCCAGTTCATTGGAGTAAGTATATTTTTAGCCAATCAAATCTCTTCTCCGCATTTGTATTTTCTTTATGAAAAGATCATTCATTTTTCTATAACTACTACTACCTAGCAAACACTTTCCGAGTAAAATACAACTCAATCTTTCTATCTCTTCTCATTCTCTTTTTCATTCTCAATCTGCAATATGTAAACCTATTGTTTTATTAGCTTATACAAACAAAAAAGGTAATTTTTCTATAATCAATGATTTTAAGATGTTTCGAGTGAAGGATAAAGAACTACTTCTGATAGAATGTTAAAGAAATAGTTAAACTAACTAAATCCACAGCTAAGGGAAGCTTTGTTTCTGTCTCTGGTGAGGGTAAATATTATTACTTTAGTTGTATAGTTAGAATTTGCCTATAATGCATAGCAATTAGCAATGCTTACATACAAATTAACTTGTACATGTCTTGGAAATTTGACTCGATTCATGTTTGATTTTTGTTTCACTGAGAAGGCATATATAGAGTGATTTATGGGTAAAATATTTTGATCACTATTCCAGAAGGCATGTTGCTTGTTTTGAGAAATAGAATACAAAATTAACATTAGAAAATATAGTTTAAGTGGGCTGAATTTTCAAAAAAGATTACAGCAAGATTTGAGTACTACTTATGCTTAGAATTAGTTCATATGTGCGGTACAGTAAGGAGAGTTAAGTTAGTTAGTTAGGTTTGCTCCTTAATTATACATAATCATACTCCGTACAAAGTATTTATGTTTTTTTTAATACTTATGGCAAAACAGTTAATTTAGTTGAAATGTATTTATAGTGAGAATAGGGTGTAAAGAATAAAAGTCTGTTTGATTTAGGGTAATAAAAAATTCAACAACTAGTATATATATGTTTGAGTGAGATGAGAATTGAAAAACAATACATTTAGGGGGGTCAATATTGTTTTGCTTTAAACGTTGAGTCATATTAGTTAGTTACTATTGCTCTTAATTCAATGGCCGTCAAGGTGTTCGTTAGTAAGAATCCTATCCTGGCTTGATATCATCAAAGAAGAGTGGAAAATGAAATCAGTACCAGACCTTTGGGTTTTAGGATAGATTGGTATGAAACATACACATGTATTAACGATTCAATTCATATGAAAACCTACCAATCTGGAGACTTCACTACTGAACCGATGGAAGATCTTTGGCACTTTGCGTCTTTCTGTTGTACATCGACGAACGTGATTCAATAGCAGATGTGATCTGTTTATCTAATAGCGATGAAGAAGCTGGCCGGGTATATATCCACATAAGCGGTGTGGCGATAGGAGATCAGAGGAATTGATATCGGTGATATCAGAGGGAGTGGCAGGTCGGCTGAGGTGTAGGTTATATATTGGGCTGGGTTGGTTTATATGTTGGGCTATTTATTGGGCCGTACAGTGGGTTAAAATGCACTTAACAAATTATGCACATAAGGTAAGGGGAATTCTATTGGCAGCCCATTATTTGTTAAATACAGCCACATATTATTTGCAATACCTAATATGCCCATTAGAACATCCACATTCATGATACTTAAATAAACAGACTTTTTAGTGACCCGTAGATTTTTTAGAAATAATCTATCATCTGCTAAATTACAGCATTCATAATCTCAAAATAATCATATCTTTTGTGGGTTCTGCACTTAATAATTAATACTAATTTCACAATAATCTTGAAATAATTTGGATTCATATTTCAATTCCGGATTATTTTGTCAAATAATCTCACCAAATAATCTTCATCACCCAACCATGATCCCAATAATAATTTGCCGCATCATTAACTTAATCCTATAATAATCCCATGAATGGAGATGCCCTTAGGTAACTTCTAATCACCTTCATCTGAAGAGGCATCCCCTACTCAACCCCCAGCAACAAGATCAATGGACATCTGAAGAATATCTTTCCATTTATGTGAAGTAGGAATGAAATTCGCATCTCTTGTTCACACACACGGTTTGGCATGAGTCTTCTCTCTTCCATGTGAACTGTTTCACATATGGTCTTCTATCTTCCATTTTATGCGTTATGTTTGGCCGGGGTCGCTCGGGCGACTCTAGACGGTGGCCCTCCTGGGGTTACTCTTCCACCGTTGTTGGCTTCTCTCTGCCGCTTGGGGGTGTTGATGGGGGTTACACTCTTAGGCTAGCCATGGCGAGACTCGAGATCAAGACTTGTCTTGGTAGACCCACGGAGTTGTAGCCATGGTGAACCAGCGCTGGCCGGATGAGGACCGGGCTGTTGTTTGGAGCTTCGACAGCTTGTCACCATCACACATCTTGCTTCTGGTACTCTACCCCAGGCGAAAGCCTCCAGACCTTTTGTTTTGAGCTGTCTAAAGATTCTATCTATGAAATAGAATCAAAATTCGTATCTCTTGTGGGTGGACTCGCATCTATGAACAAGAATCGGGGTTGTAAGAAATCAGAAATGGCTAATCTATATGCTTTAGACGGCTCAAAACAATTTGCTTTGCCATAAAAGAAAGCTACGTTTGACATTCTATATAAAAAGTAATGATGAGACTATGGGAGAAGCACCCAAATTAATACGGAGTACTGTATAAATTATATGAATTATGAACTTGAATTTTATTTCAATTAGTAAATCAATTCAAATGATCAGGCGGTCATTTGCTCCACTATTGTGGTTGGAGATGCTAAGGTGCCGACTGCTGCATAATTGGTTTGGTGTGCGGAAAACATTTTAAATGAAAAAACACATCTATTTACTTTAAATACCAGTGTAGTACTTGTGCGATGCACAGGAAAATTCAAGAAATGAAAATGTAGTAGTACCTTATAGTAATAAAATTACTGGATACAAATTTAAGAATTTTTTGCAATAATTTCTTTTTTGTTGTTGATGATTCTCACAAATTGACAACACCGAGTAACTTTGAAGGTAAATCGACTTTCGCAATTACTGCGTAGTAGATTTTAATGGACAATGAAGTTTTAAACGTACATGATTCCTTTGATTCTTTTTTACCGAGTCGCCCTATTAAGAAAACATATCTAGTCCACATCGGTTCTATGAACTCAAATGATCATATAGTAGATCATTTGATTAGTGCATGTTCGTTCTTATGATTTTTTTTTCACAAAAAATAGTTGTCGAAGATTACATTATTACTCCGTATTACTTAACAAATTATACAAACATAAAGTAGAATAATTTTATTAACAAATGATACACATATTTGAGACAGTTTATAAATAAATCATACCATAAAAAATAGGGATAAAGACCAAAAATGACACTAACGTTTTTAGCGAATCTCGGATTAGACACTAATGTTTTAAGTAGACCAAATAAACACAAAATTATAGTTTTTGGATCCAATTTGACCACCCTTTAACGGAGGCGTTAAAGGAACCTTCCTCCCCGTTAAATCTACAGTTCTTGATTCCCATACATGTCAGACAAGCTCTGAATTTTGGGTCTAATATTGGTAAATGTTGACAATGATCCCTTCATCTTTAGTAATCTGATAGAACTACCCAGGCAATTGAAGAATTCAACTAACATTTCATACCTGACATATAATTAGTAAAAATATCAATATATAGAACCAATACAGATATTAGAGAATATTACGAAATTTGTAGAATTGCAATTTGCAAACCAGAAATTATTCAGTAAAAAGAGACAGATCATGATAATAAATAGTGTCCGATAAACCGAAATAAAGACCAACCAGAAAAAACATTGCTGTATGGAAACATTGCTATACACAATCAACATTCTAATCTTTGGAACTGTAAGCACAACAATCCAGCAAAAATATGTCAAGTTCTAAAATTGCTTACTTTTCTGGGAGCTTGGCTGAACTGTTTGGCTTCCTAGGCTTTGTAACAGAAGATTCAGGAAAAGAAACATCATGCTGTCCGGGGTGCCTCAAAATTTGATCGGCGAATGGATTGTCGTTATCAGATGGTAACTGATCTGAATTATGGAGCTTCTGAGCCGCTTCTCTGACCTGTTTCACAGAGAAGGCAGCATGGCCTTTTTTGCTCTGCGAAGGAGCACTGATTGGCTTCTCGGGGGTCTTAGAAGTCAATGGATCCGCAACCGGCCGCGACGAATTCAGTGGCTTCGAAGTAGAGCCCAACGGCTTCTCCGATTTGAAGAAATCAAGCAGTGAAGGCTCTGTGGCTTCGAATTTAGCCCCACCCCAGTCCAACACCCTGCCCCTCCATTGTTCCCAGCTTTAATCTGATGGGGAGTTAACGAGGGGGAAGAGTTAGTTTAAAGGGTGGTCAAAATGGACTCAAAAACTATAATTTTGTGTTTATTTGGTCTACTTAAAACATTAGTGTCTAATTCGAGATTCGCTAAAAACGTTAGTGTCATTTTTGGTCTTTATCCCTAAAAAATATAGGTATTGAATGATGTAATACTCTACACGTGTTCTTTAAATTTTAATTAGTGAACCATATTTCTTAATAAATTAAACTAAACCCATTCGTATCGCAAAAACTAACCTAATAGTCCGTATAATATATGCTCAATGGTTTTAACAGAGTATTGGTAAGAAAAGAAGAAAAAGATGCAAAAAAGAAGAAGGAACGCCATGTGGCATTTAATTTATCACACATTTGCCAATATTTTAATTTTAAATGTAGCTAAGGAAAATTCCATATGACATTTCAAAAATGGTGAAAATAGGACATCATATTCTTCATAGCCGCATTTAACTTCAATGATCGAGTGCTCCATGCAATAATATTAAATGTGTTGTCTCTCAATATATTATTCCCGGCCTTTTTGGTTTGTTCAACCATTTGATATTAAGATATTGAATAATGTCTATTAATGCATGCATTGTAAACGACACAAAACGTCTGCATACCCCAAATACATGCTCATTTGGTCACTATTAGTTTGCATACTTTTTCTTATTATTTCAATGTTTCTTTTTATATTTTATAGTCATTCAATTCGCTAAGCTTGTTTTCTCTTACCTTGCACGCTAAAGATAGCTTCCAACTCTAGAGAGCATACCACTGGATTTTCTTAATTGAGTACTAATAACAGTTTGGGTTAAAGTGTGATCAGATGTATAACTTGTTACGGAGTATAAACTGTTGTTACTGTTTTTTAAAAATGTTCTTAATTACTAAACATGTTCACGCAAACCATTTCAACTTGATTATTGTAAAAATATGCTTACTAATCATATAGACGATGTATTTAAATAGAAGTCCTCAAGTAAGTTGCTCTTAATTTTTTCATCCACGCCAACCATGAAAAATGAGCTATCTTAATCTTAAAATACAGCTAGCTAGTGCAGTGCACTATGAATTCATACTAAGTTGAAAAAGAAGTTGTTTGTAAATTTCAACACATTATTTAAGATCAATTTTTAAGACCCCCATGAATAGAGTTGATAAAAGCTGTAAAGTAAAATGGACAAACGAACTCCAATTTTTGTGAAGAAGATTATTCTTCAACTTACGTTTTCTTTATGCGAGCATTTGAACATCACCATATGCAAAAGCCTCAACTATATCTCACAGTCCTACTATTCTAGTGAGGGAGGTACATTTTGGTGAACCGTAGAGTTGAATTTATATAGAGAAAGCTTTTGGAATTGAGAAGTCAATAGCCATTATGAAGTCTTTAATCTAGCTGCAATCAAAGTATAATGCGTATTGGAAATAGCCAAGGGAATAATGTCGAAGATGAAAGTATAATGCGTATTGGAAATAGCCAAGGGAATAATGCCGAAGATGAATAGACAGTTTTTTTGTTGGCCAATAAATTAATAATATTTGCAAACCAATTTTTAATTGCTAACGGGCTTAGCTATTTTTATGTTTAGAGTTCCTCACGTGTGCCTCACACTTTTCCTGCTCATTCTTCCTCCCACTATTGCATTTTTATATATTATATAGATACGTAGTATCATAAGTACTACATACTATGTATATGAACGGTGGTAAATTTGTACAATAAATATATTGATATTCTTACATATATGTATTTTTTTAACACAAATAATAAAGGAATTTCCTATATGTTGATATCAATATTAATTATTTTTTATGAAATTTACCAATTAATGTCTTCCGTATAGGAAGTATCACAAAACTCACTAACTTAGTATTACAATTTTTAGAAATTTCATATTTTCTTGCATATTTAGCTCTAGCTTATTCGGGATTTTTTCAGTATCGCGCATCACACGACTATATTAGCATAGTATTATTAACACTTAATTATAAAAAATTCTACAACATTCTTAAGTGTACTAAATTATGATACAAGGTACAATCCCGATAAAGTTTTCACAACATTATTTTGATATTGAAGTTTC